TGCAATTTAACTTTTTTTTTTTTAGGTGTGTTTACAATGTCCAATTCCAAATTTTGAGTAATTTAAAGGTCTTTAAACATCCATCTTCAATTTAGTGTATTGAGATATCTTTAAATGTCCAATTTAAGTTTAGAAGTGATGTAGAAGTTCAGTCCGAAGTAATTCAATTCTAACACATTCATTATACAGGCGTAACTCTGCGTTCTTTAATTCAAAATGAACCCCGTTCACTTGTAACTGCAGTAAAAAGTAGTCCCCGACTTACTCTTAATAATAACCCCGTTATTATACAGTCTATGATAGTCCCCGACTATCTAAAGATAAACCCCGTTATCCCGGCCTCGACTGTCTGCAATATAGTCCCCGACTATTTAAAAAGGATAATCCCCGTTATCCCAGGCCTTTTTTAATTTGAATCCCCGACTCAAAAAGTAAAATACCCTTTTGAATGAAACCCCGTTCATTCGAGCTCTGTAAAAGTCCTTGACTAAAGGCATAACTCTGCGTTATCCTAAATGAACGTGTTCATGTGAACTTCACACTACTTCCTGGATTACTTTTGGACATAATTTAGTGTTTAGAACTTGCCTTTGTTGCAATTTCATCAGGAAAAAAAACTGTAGTTCTCTCGTCGACTCCAACCCAGGGCTGTCCTGCCTCAAACCTGGAGTTCCAATGCAGTTCCGAATGCAGAAGGCCCTGTAGTTGCTCCTGGAAGTCCATGTTTGAGACAAGCTCAGCTCCTGTAAGAAGTGTTGGGATCCGGATTCGAAGGACCAAGTGATAATGCTGTTTCAACTACAGTTGAACCTGATGAAATCTCACACAACAAAGAGACAAAGTTAATCTTTTACTTGTTACATTGTACAAGGAGAAAGTCTTGACAGAGGCAAGGCACAGACCCCAGCCTCTCTCAGGACAAGTCTGATGATTCACAGATGGCAAGCCCCTTTTGGTTGAACAAGACACACCTTCGTATGCAGATGGGAAAGGAAGAACCCACACAACAAAAGACACTCTGTATTAGCGTAAACAAAGAATGCTGTGTTTAACATATGAGCTCCCCAGACCTCGTGGAGTTTTGCTGGAACTGAAGTGAATTACAGAATAGCGCATTCAGCATATAGCCACATATGATTTACCAAAATGATAACTTAAATTACATTCCAATATCAGTTTAAGTCTTTGAGATGGTGCTGATGTAAAAGAAACAGGATTGAAGGTTTTTTTGACGTGAGATAAGAGTCTAAGACAACACCGAGGTTATGAGCGGAGATATTTTTAAGGACAAGGGGCCGAGGTAGGTTTGGATGTGGGAGATAAAGGGAGAGCTTGATGAAGGAGCAGATTAGAATGTGTTAAGTTAAAGAAAGTTATGGGCCATTCAACTGTTGACATCATTAAAGGCACACCGCGGACTTTGTGACCTAAAGAGTTGACACATATGAGTTATTTTATATGAATACTTGGGCCAATATACAGCGCTTGACACTTGCAATGCTCCGAGCGGGGCTGCCCTCTTGAAATACCGCCCATGTAAGTTTCGAGCAGACGGACCGTCTGCCACCAGGTCACGTGACTTGGAAGAAAGACTTGCTTTACGGCTACAGGCGCTGATATACTCATGGAGCTAAGGCTTTTGCTACTCATTTTTCACCTGCTCGACTCCTGGTCATGGCTGAGGCAAGGAAAAATTTTAAACCTTCGGAGGAGGCTAAAAAGAGGAAACGCGAAAGGGATCGTGCTGTAAGCTGCATGTCTGTATGAGCGCTGCTCTTCACCTGGTTCCTGGATGTCATCGACTGCAAAGATGTCATTCCACGCAGCACGAGCTAGACGCAGAACTCCCTCATCCAGGATATAGAAGTCCATGTGTGGTAGATTACTAATGCAGCGGTCTGGAGGCTGACCACAGCAGAGTCTCTCAATATCTGTAGGCATGTCTCTACAGTTTGAACACACACACCAGTGCATGCTGTCTGAATACACACTCAAAAGACACCGGCTGACTGTTTGTTGACTTTTGCGACAGTGCTGAGTTGCTTGTGGCCACTAGGGGCGCTAAACGTGAAAGTTGCAGGTCTAGCGCCCCTAGTGGCCAAGAGTTACACGGTGTGCCTTTAACCCTTCAGAGTCCACTGCATCACATGCCGTAGACCAGAAGTGTCCAAACCGATCCAGAAAAGGCCACTGTGGCTGCAGGTTTCCTTACAGACCCAGGAGGAGCTTGAGGACTTCAGGAAATGGGTTCAAGCGCTCCCACTGTTGTGTCCCTGGGCAAGACACTCTTTACCCCACTTTGCCTGAAGCCCTCGCTGAAATACCAAGGCCATTATCCTGTGGACCCACCACCTGCAGGAGGATCAGCGAGGGACTGGTGCCTTGAGCATTGGGTCGTAGTTCTGATTGCCACCCCCGACCCAGAAATGGATCAATAAAGGGGAAGAAAATTATGACAAAATGTCTTTGTCAGAGGTGACACGTGATAGTGTGAGGTGTCTCTGATCAGCTGTTGTTACCGGATGTGGTCAGTCTGACACATTGGGAATATCCATCCGACTGACCACACCCCCTCTGTGGTCGCTGGTGAAGTGAGTCCCAAGTGTGAGCCAAGGTGAAAGCCCCCTCGTCCCTGTTGATGGTCCGTGCACCCTGTTCCCTGATTTCAATCTCCTCTTGTATCCAGTTTGTATTTATGTTCTTCTGTACCTAATATTTTTGCATTGTAGCAGTTCATAATAGGATTTTCAGTGGTCTGATGTTGCTGATTTGAAGTTTTCCTGTGTTGCTTTTTCCTTGGTTGATCTTGTTAGTTGTGCTGCTGTTTCTTTTTTCGTATTCCTTCCTATGTCTGATTTTATTTATTTTTATTTTTATTTATTGATTTATTTGATAGGGACAAGTGTACACAATCAACATGTGAAACACTACAACATCTATAGCCAAGGCTAGTTTGCAATGTCCGTCCCTAGGAGGGCTTTTAACACAATTAAAATACATTACACATTATAAAATTCACATTATACAAAAACAGATAGATGTTCTCCAACTCTTTATTTCTCACACACCTGGTTTGTTTTAAAAAAATCGCTTGAGTTCATGTTTAAAACCAGCCCAGTCAGAGTTCAGTTTTAGCTGAGGGCTTAAAGAGTTCCAGAACTTTGCCCCCTGGACCGAGAAGACCAACTGCCCGAATGTGGTTCTCCTGAGGGGCACCTTCACATTCCCGTTAGAGGAGCCCCGTGTGACGGATCTCAGAGGAACTATGAGAGCACTAAGGACAGCACTGACCACATCCTGTAACAACAGCTGAAAAGAGACACATCATCATGTCTCACCTCTGACGAAGGCTACGCACAAACATGTGGTAATTAAGCAGAACTAGCTTCTTTACACACAATGTCTTATTAAGAGAACATTACAAGCTGTAAAGGTAAGGAAGACATAATAAACGTTTTACATTTCATATTTCAAACTGTTCAGTGGATACAACAATAATATAAACTAGAAATGAAACTCTAGGATTTGATTTGTTTTGACTGATGGCGTTTGAATAAAATAAGTTCCTTGCTTCATTCGGCACGTGTTGATAATTTTTGAGGCCATCTTTCCAGGAGAGGTGAAACGCTGTCAGGTTTTTTCCTTTTCGTGCAAGCTTTCTATAATAATTTGTGAGTCATGGTGGTGTTCTGCTGCAGATTCTTTATTTAAAAGGGGAAATGGTGTCTAAAATCCTGTTTGATGTTTGTTTAAAGGAGGAGCTGCTTCTTAAAAGGAGCGAGTTCAAATTAGTCAAGGAAGCTGCGGTGAAAAGGTGGGAATAGAAGAATAGAAGAGGAGTTAAATACACTAAAGCATTAAAGAGACCCAACTTCAAACAAAACCACTAAGGATACTAACACACAGAAATCCTTGGTGTGAGTGACATTTCCTGCGCTTCGACCAAACGTCAAAATCAGGTCCAGTGTAGAGACCTTTGAATGTCTAGAAACAGTTACTATTTGGAGATATTTAAAAGAGTCAATTCAATAAAAGGAGGTTAAATGCTGTGGTTTAAGGGGGCAGCAGATATGGATGTTAAAATCACCTAGATCAGAGAATTGTTTTTAGGGGTCTATGAATAACTAAAACAACCCCAGGAATCTTTCAGGGAAATGATTTAAGGCAGAGAGTGCATTCAAAAGGATCTTTTAAAATAGCTGCAACCCCCACTCCCGTACTGGACAGCCTTAGTAGGTCCCTGAGAATTAAAACACTTACTCAAATTTAAAGATGGATACAAGACACTCACTAAAATCATTTAATAAGGCACCAGTAGGGCCTGGGGGATGGTAAATCAAACAGCAATAAAATGTGTCAGAGGAGCCAATCTTCATCATTAATGATTCAACGGAAGAAAGATGTTCCGTGTCAATCATTGTGCATGTGTAGCTGTCCCGGAACACGTCAGCTCGGCCACGACGGCAGGGGGCGCGGCTTCCTGCCATGCACACAACAGGGCAGAGGTCATTTAGATGAAGGAACGCTCTGAGGGAAAAAGAAAATATATGTTAATAATAATATAATAATACATTAAACTTCTAAAGCTCTTTTTTGGACACTTCACGTGGGGGATAAAATAAAATACAATAAAAAGGGGTTCACGGAAAAGCTTGTTTGAAAAGATGGGTTTGGAGACTGATTTAAAGTTTGGTAGTGAGTCAGAGTTTCTAATGGGCAGTGGGAGTGAGTTCCAGACGGTTGGGGCGGCAATTGCAAAGGCTCGGCCCCCAAGGTCCGGCGGTTTATGCGGGTGATGGGAGTGAGGAGGTTGGAATCGGCTGAGCGAAGGTGGCGGGTGGGTGGGTGCTGTTGTAGGAGCTCAGTGAGGTAGGGCGGGGCCAGGTTATGGAGGGACTTGTAGGTGAGGAGAAGGAGCTTTCCTCCAGAAACAATGTGTTAAGAGAAAATAACTTGTTGACAGTTGGGGGAGCGTTTAGTGCAGCGACTCAATGTTGACGTCACCCCATTCGTGTCACCGGTGAGGGTGGGACTGGCCTCAGAAACTTCTCACTGTCACGTGACGTCAAGCTGTACCAGAAAAGACAACGGTCTGTGGTTGTCTGCAATGTCCAGGGGGCTCCCAGTCCCAGGGGGCCTTCAAGGGGTACTTGGTGGCTCTCATGAAGGAGTAGTCCTGCGGAGTAGCAGCGTGAATCTGGACCCGGACCCTTGCTCTGCGGCCCCTTCTCCTCCACTGCTCTGCTTGGGATTCCGCTGGGCTTCAGTCCTGGTTCTGGATCATTCCTGGTCCTGGTTCAGACCCAAAAACAAGTGTCAGAGTCTTAAAATCAGCCCTGAATGTGACGTGGGGCCAGTATGAGGGAAAATTGGTAGAGATTAAGGATTTGGGTCAATAATCACAATTGCTCAAGAAAAATAGAAACTCCAATATTCACTGTACATTACTCAACAAACAGTGCTGTAAAATAAGCGTGTGCAAAAAGGCCCGATATTAAAATCTTTTCACTTTTTTCATCTGTTCAGCAACTATTATTAGAATTACAAGTAATAGTTAGATTAAAATATGTCCTGAGGGCAGCTGATGTTTTATGCATGAGTGGTGGTCCAGCACAGCCCTGACCCGTGCGCTGCCCCAGGGCCCTCAGAGCTCTGCAAGAAAAACACACTGAGGCACCAGAAAATCAATCCACAGATACAGAAAAATGTATCACGCTTTAGACATAAACATCTAAATAGTTTCTTTGTTTCCAGAGCCGAGAGAATCCTGGGCTTCTCTCTCCTATTCTCATAATCCATGACACCACACGTATGGATGAAGGCCGTTTGATAACAGGGATTTAAAGTAGCACCATGTAAGATTTTCATGTCAAGTCATCATTAAAGTGATAGTCTGGAACTCTAAATGATTTACAGAGTGAAACAAGGGAAAAAGCAAATGCATTTCATGATTTTTTTGGTCAGAGTTGGGCCTAATTTAGCCAAAAATGAACAAACAAATGATGCCAATTATTTTGTCTGCAGAAATATAAATAAAAAGCCCTAATTCTTTCTTTATTAGAAATGTAAATAACAATGAAATCCTTGATATTCTAAGTTCTTTCAAAAACAAGAAATCATCAGATTTTATTGATGTTGATATGGTTCAAGTGAAAGAAATTATAAACTTTATAGTCACACCGCTGACGTACACTTGTAATCAATCTTTCTTTATTGGCAAATTCCAAAGCAAATTAAAAATAGAAAACATAATACCAATTTTTAAAAGTGGGGCCAAAGATCAGATTACAAACTACAAACAATCTCTGTTTGCCGCAGTTCTCTAAAATATCAGAAAAACTGTTTATGAATGGACTGGATCCATCCATCCATTTTCTACCCTTTAATCCATTTCTGGGTCAGGGGGGTGGCAGTCAGAGATGCCACCCAAGTCTCATAGCACCAGCCCCTCACTGACCCTCTGCAGGTGGTGAGTCCACAGGAGGACGGCTGCTCTCTGAGTGTGAGCATAGCCTTGATCTTTCAGTGGGGGCTTTGGGCAAAGTGGGGTTAAGTGTCTTGCCCAAGGACACAACGACAGCAGTCATCAGTGGGAGTCGGTGGAGAAGGTGCAGAGGTGGGAATTGAACCCACGACCTTCTGGCCTTAAGGCCAATGCTCTACCAACTGAGCTACTGGACTAACTGAATGGACTGGATGTTTAAAAAAAAAAAGGGATTCTGACGTGGCAGAAATTACACATGGGGTCCCACAGGGCTCTGTCCTGGGACCTAGACTTTTAATGTTGTACGTAAATGACAAATGCCACACTCTCAGTAAATCTAAATATATTCTTTTATGTATAAATATGGTTGTAATCGTGATTGTGGTTATAATAATAATGTGGATATTTTTTGTTTCTATTGTTGCTGTTATTATTAATCATAATAATGATTAGTGGTAGAAATAGTCGAATGATTACGGTGATATTGGAATTAAAAATAAAAATGGTTATAAAGATAATGATAATGGTAATAATAAAAAGAAGGTATTATGTATGTGTATATGTATTTTTATTTTATCTATTTATTTATTTGGTTTATTTGAGCAATATCCAATGCATTTATACAAAAACAACAAGAGTACATATTATATATGTACATATGTGTACGACTGTTTTGTAAATGTATGTACTGTATGTACAGTATGTATGTATATGTATGTACGTACAGTATGTATGTATATGTGTGTATGTACTGTATGTACAGTATGTATGTATTATGTGTATGTATTGTATGTACAGTATGTATGTATTGTGTATGTACTGTATGTACAGTATGTATGTATATGTGTGTGTGTATGTTGTATATTTGTCTCATTTCTCTTCACTGCTTTTCTTTTTTCCTCCATGAGATATCTGTGACAAAATAAGGGTTAGGCAAAATAAGTTTATACTTCAGCCTAAACTCCTTCAGCCATTCATGTGTTTGTATCTTTCTGATTAACAATACGTAACACTTATTTTGAATGTGGTGACAGAAGATAAAATTATCTGAACTGAACTGAAAATTGGAAACCTTTCAACAAACTGCCATGGATCATCACGTCCCAAGTAGGTTTGAAATCTCAACATTTACTGGATCTCAACAGTATTTGTCTGATGCACACAGTTTAACACATTTTAATGTCCCATTGTTGGTGATAAAACATGGGGATTGGAGCAGCGCCCGTGTGGCCTGTGCCCGGTCCCTGGGGAGCGCCCATGTCCCGGGATGAGCCCTGTGTCTGTGTCTCAGCCATGTCCAATCTCCTTATGCAGATAATGGGATCTGATGTCAGCCCCCACCCCTCTGCAGGCTCTGTGGGGCCTCCTGGGGGCCTCCTGCTGTGCCTCCTCATGGAGCGGGTCAGAGAGGTCCTCATAATGTCTCCTCAGATGACACAGTGGACACTGGACTTTACAGAAGGCCTGTCACTTCACCATTTTGAATTCAAAGACACTTTTCCACACATATTTTAGAGCCAAAAACAAAAGTACTGCTTTGATTCATTTGAATGATTATGATAAAAACTAGTGCCAGGACTCGATTTGAAATATTAAATCATCTAACTAATTAGAGGCTTTTTAATTAAAGAATCAAAATTAATTGCATTGAATTAAAATATTTTATCTGAAAACAGTGAGATTTTTTTACACATGGATTTTCGTATAGCAATGAATAATGACTGATTACAGACGCTTAAGCAACAAAATACTGTTTATTTTTGTCCAACCAAGTCCAACAGACCAGTACAGGACTACAGTACAGTTTGAAGGTCTTCATTGGTCCGTAAGGGGCAGAGACCAATGTCCATAAATGTCATTGAATGTGGAGTGTCCTGGACCATCACTGTCCTCAGACCCTCCTGCACCGGCAGCAAACACTGTATCATGTCTGTAATCAAGTATTTATTGATGTGACTGTGAGTTTATGCTGGAATGTGGGAACGTCTACATAAACAGATCTCCTTTAACACTAGAAATCACAGTCACAAAGTTTTGGCGCATGCACCTTTTTGGTCTTTGTAACTTAGTGACTTTTTCTACATCTGTGAGAAGTTTGTTTATTTCATTATGTTTATGAAATTCTTTTTTAGTTTTTTGTTGTGAGAAGTTCCTTTGAAGAACGAGTGCTGGTTACTATAGCAACACACCTTGGTCTTTAGCATCTGGCCTTTCAACAAACTGTTTTAGCACTTTGTGAAAGTGAAAGGTAAAACACCTTAAAACACTTCTCACTTTTTATAAGACCGGTGGAATGTCTCAGAGTTCTCATGTCGCTCTCAGGTCAGTGAGAGGTCAGTGAGAGGTCAGTGAGAGGTCAGTGAGAGGTCAGTGAGAGGTCAGTGAGGCTAATCTCACTGAGTCATGGCCACATCATATGATCGAATCCTTATTCTGTGTAAATTATTGACAGTTGATTATTCTGTAATGTTGAGATTAAGTTTGTTTTGTGCTTTGGGTCCTTTTCTGGACTATTTTCATGTGATATGGATTAAGATGAAGAGATCCTTGATTCGTCCCACAGTGGGAAAATTTCAGTGTTGCATCATAAGTTATAGAACAGTAGGAAAGAGGAGCACACAGCACAAGATAAGTGAACAATAGCTATACTAATTAAATCAAAACAAAATCTCTAACTCCAGCATCAAATAACAAGTATAAAATCTCTATCTTGGACATAATAATAATAAGTATAACAATTTTACATTTGGCAAAATAAGAGGCCAGTATACAGCACTGTGTACTGTGTACTAGTGCAAGTAAAGACCTCAGACTGCACGTTGGAGATTTATAACCTACGGGTGCGGTTAGCCACACCCTAATCCTGATGCTAACTCATTAACAATCTAAGGTCTGCTTGATGTGGAAGGGAACACACCTGTACAGTAGCAGCAGTATGTTTACACCTGTACAGTAGCAGCAGTATGTTTACACCTGTACAGTAGCAGCAGTATGTTTACACCTGTACATTAGCAGCAGTATGTTTACACCTGTACATTAGCAGCAGTATGTTTACATCTGTACATTAGCAGCAGTATGTTTACACCTGTACATTAGCAGCAGTATGTTTACACCTGTACATTAGCAGCAGTATGTTTACACCTGTACATTAGCAGCAGTATGTTTACACCTGTACAGTAGCAGCAGTATGTTTACACCTGTACATTAGCAGCAGTATGTTTACACCTGTACATTAGCAGCAGTATGTTTACACCTGTACATTAGCAGCAGTATGTTTACACCTGTACATTAGCAGCAGTATGTTTACACCTGTACATTAGCAGCAGTATGTTTACACCTGTACATTAGCAGCAGTATGTTTACATCTGTACATTAGCAGCAGTATGTTTACATCTGTACATTAGCAGCAGTATGTTTACATCTGTACATTAGCAGCTGTATGTTTACATCTGTACATTAGCAGCAGTATGTTTACATCTGTACATTAGCAGCTGTATGTTTACATCTGTACATGTTAGCAGCAGTATGTTTACATCTGTACATTAGCAGCAGTATGTTTACATCTGTACATTAGCAGCAGTATGTTTACATCTGTACATTAGCAGCAGTATATTTACATCTGTACATTAGCAGCTGTATGTTTACATCTGTACATTAGCAGCTGTATGTTTACATCTGTACATGTTAGCAGCAGTATGTTTACATCTGTACATGTTAGCAGCAGTATGTTTACATCTGTACAGTAGCAGCAGTATGTTTACACCTGTACAGTAGCAGCAGTATGTTTACACCTGTACATTAGCAGCAGTATGTTTACACCTGTACATTAGCAGCAGTATGTTTACACCTGTACATTAGCAGCAGTATGTTTACATCTGTACATTAGCAGCAGTATGTTTACACCTGTACATTAGCAGCAGTATGTTTACACCTGTACATTAGCAGCAGTATGTTTACACCTGTACATTAGCAGCAGTATGTTTACACCTGTACATTAGCAGCAGTATGTTTACATCTGTACATTAGCAGCAGTATGTTTACACCTGTACATTAGCAGCAGTATGTTTACACCTGTACATTAGCAGCAGTATGTTTACACCTGTACATTAGCAGCAGTATGTTTACACCTGTACATTAGCAGCAGTATGTTTACACCTGTACATTAGCAGCAGTATGTTTACACCTGTACATTAGCAGCAGTATGTTTACATCTGTACATTAGCAGCTGTATGTTTACATCTGTACATTAGCAGCAGTATGTTCACACCTGTACATTAGCAGCTGTATGTTTACATCTGTACATTAGCAGCAGTATGTTTACACCTGTGCATTAGCAGCAGTATGTTTACATCTGTACATTAGCAGCAGTATGTTTACATCTGTTCATTAGCAGCAGTATGTTTACATCTGTACATTAGCAGCAGTATGTTTACATCTGTACATTAGCAGCAGTATGTTTACACCTGTACAATAGCAGCACTATGTTTACACCTGTACATTAGCAGCAGTATGTTTACACCTGTGCATTAGCAGCAGTATGTTTACACCTGTGCATTAGCAGCACTATGTTTACACCTGTACATTAGCAGCAGTATGTTTACACCTGTACATTAGCAGCAGTATTTTTACATCTGTACATTAGCAGCAGTATGTTTACACCTGTACATTAGCAGCAGTATATTTACATCTGTATATTAGCAGCAGTATGTTTACATCAGTACATTAGCAGCTGTATGTTTACATCTGTACATTAGCAGCAGTATGTTCACACCTGTACATTAGCAGCTGTATGTTTACATCTGTACATTAGCAGCAGTATGTTTACATCTGTACATTAGCAGCAGTATGTTTACATCTGTTCATTAGCAGCAGTATGTTTACATCTGTACATTAGCAGCAGTATGTTTACATCTGTACATTAGCAGCAGTATGTTTACACCTGTACAATAGCAGCACTATGTTTACACCTGTACATTAGCAGCAGTATGTTTACACCTGTGCATTAGCAGCAGTATGTTTACACCTGTGCATTAGCAGCACTATGTTTACACCTGTACATTAGCAGCTGTATGTTTACATCTGTACATTAGCAGCAGTATGTTTACACCTGTACATTAGCAGCAGTATGTTTACATCTGTACATTAGCAGCAGTATGTTTACATCTGTACATTAGCAACAGTATGTTTACACCTGTACATTAGCAGCAGTATGTTTACACCTGTACATTAGCAGCAGTATGTTTACATCTGTACATTAGCAGCAGTATGTTCACACCTGTACATTAGCAGCAGTATGTTCACACCTGTACATTAGCAGCTGTATGTTTACATCTGTACATTAGCAGCAGTATGTTTACACCTGTACATTAGCAGCAGTATGTTTACATCTGTACATTAGCAGCAGTATGTTTACATCTGTACATTAGCAACAGTATGTTTACACCTGTACATTAGCAGCAGTATGTTTACACCTGTACATTAGCAGCAGTATGTTTACATCTGTACATTAGCAGCAGTATGTTCACACCTGTACATTAGCAGCAGTATGTTTACACCTGTACATTAGCAGCAGTATGTTTACATCTGTACATTAGCAGCAGTATGTTTACATCTGTACATTAGCAACAGTATGTTTACACCTGTACATTAGCAGCAGTATGTTTACACCTGTACATTAGCAGCAGTATGTTTACATCTGTACATTAGCAGCAGTATGTTCACACCTGTACATTAGCAGCAGTATGTTTACACCTGTACATTAGCAGCAGTATGTTTACATCTGTACATTAGCAGCAGTATGTTTACACCTGTACATTAGCAGCAGTATGTTTACATCTGTACATTAGCAGCAGTATGTTTACACCTGTACATTAGCAGCTGTATGTTGCTAAAGTTAGATTGTAATGGAGTTTTGGGGGTGGCGGTGCACAGAGGCTCTTGGCTTCAGACCACTTCCTTTGTGCAGCATAAATATTGTTCAATTAATAAAATAAATACATAAATAAAAAGAATTCCATTGGTTTTAAAGTAGAAGAAGTGGTGGTGATCCTCGAGCCCGGTGCACGGAGCCGGCTGCAGTCACGTAACCAGATTAGAAAACTCCAATTGAAGCAAGCCCCGATAAGTGGCTAATGAAGATATGCAATACGCCGCCATCTTGTGTTCCATACGCTCTGACTTAATAAGTGAAATGAGAGCCATCCTTTAGGCCCTATAACCGGAGCACAGGCACCAGGAGCCAACCATCAGCTCTGTCTCCGACCAACTTCTCTTTTTACAATCTCAAATCATCTCCGGAGCACATAATCCGTCACACAGGGCTTTTTCACTGGAAAGAAATCCTAAAATAGTGCGGCAATTATTTTGTTTTAAAAGACAGAAAATAGCTCTGTCCGCGATAGAGTGAAAATACTCCGGC